AAAATTCCAGTAAATTCCCTATAACTCTGGACAGAAGGCCTAAGGGCCGTTATCCTTTTGGGGTTTTTCATACCTCACTGGGGTCTACCTTATGCACAGAGTCCGAACTCAAAGGCGGTTGGACAGTTGGGGACCTTCCTTCGTCAGTTTTTCCGGTGTTCCTAAGGGGCTACCGGCATTGTACTAAAAATTACAGTAAGAATACAGTATCTCGACAGTAATAAGTTATTAGCCCAAACTCGTTTCAAGGCATTCATAGCTCATTAGAATCTACATTATGCAGAGAGTTCCGACTAAAAAGCAATTTGACACTTACAAAAAGTTACCTCGAAAGACACATTCTGAACGTGAGAGTGCAATTGAGACACATACACACAAGACTAAGTTGACAAGTCGAATATAACTGCTTCAGGCAGTACATAGTATAGATTCTAGACTTTCTGACTCAATACATTTAGTAATGACAGTATATGCAAACTATGATAGTGTTTAATAGGGAAAGCAGAACTTTCAGAGGCTGGTAACACTAATATATATATATGTTACTGTGCCTTGATTGAGAGAAAATACATGAGGATATGCTATGATTAGATTCTGTGATATATAAAACATAATTAGAATGATTTATAGCTTTAGTTGAATGAATGAATTTGACTATGTAAATTTTAAAATTCTGACCTTAAGGGAAAGTATTATTCTTTTTACAGTATACTTTGTACTCTTATTTGAGTAGCCTTTGGTTTTTTTTTCTATTCTGTACAAATGCTAAACAAAAAATACACATATAGTTTATATAAAATTATTTTTTAGATTCCAGAATTATTTCGAAAAAAACACAATTTATGTCTTGCTGTTTTTGTTGTTTCGGAAAAATTACAAAATGGTATGCGAATATGGTCTGCACATCGTGATAAAGGATTTTTACCAAAAAATTTTACACGTGATACGCGATCAGTTAATCCCATTGAATTCGATATAAATGAAAGTAATTTAACATTTGAAGGCGATTTTAAGTAATTTAATTGAAAATATCATTTTAATCTTTATTGTTCACGCGCATTTTTATTTAGATTAGATCTACGAATGACAACTCTATGGAATAAATTAAAAGAATCTCAACAATTGTATCAACTCGATGAACAATCAACGATAAAATTACATCCAGCACAACATGAACCATTATCACCACGTTTATTGTGTATTCTTAAGGATAATAATGGTTTTTACAAAGATACAATTTGTTTATCAAATTTTATTCGATCAAGTGAGTAAAAAATATGATTGAAAGTATTAAATGAGAATGTGTTCTTCTTTTTTTTTTCTTCTTAGAAAAAGCCTCAAAACGAAATTTAACAAATGCTGACACTACAGGTTTGTATATTTGCAATTAATTCATTTATAGAATATTCTTGGTTTATAATTGTTTTAGCTCAAACTTGTACAATAGCACGAAAACGAGCAAAAAAATGATTAATCTAATTTATTATTTGTGTAAAGTACAAATAGAAACGAGATATTAACAAATATAGTATCAAAGTCAATAATGTCTGTGAACTAATCATTATAATTTGTAGTTTGATTTATATTTTCTTCGTTGTTTGTTTATATAAAAAGACTAGTAAGTTTTGTGTACTGAAAAAGTGAGTACACTCTAGAATCGGTCAGTGTGTCCGTCCGGCCGTTTACACGATAACTTTTGAAAGGAGAGTTCAATCGCGATGAAATTTTCTACACAGTTCAGTCTTAACAATGTCACGATGGAGTTCGAAGATGAGCATGATTGGCCGAGCCGTTCCTGAGTTATTACAAAAATACTCATTTTTTCCTATGCGAAAATCGACCCATCCCCGCTTTCGTAAAAAACTTTTCCTATCATACTCAAACAAAACCCTAACTATTATATACCATTCGATAGAGAATTTTACGAGCTACAAAATGGTAT